TTTTTTCATAGAGAACTCATCTGAAATGGCACACGACGCCTTTCTTTTGAGATTGAAAGTACTTTGAAATAAGTCTAATGCTATTCTGTTTGACATACCAGTTTGTTTCTCTGCATTAGGATCAACGATTTCATACCCCATGCTTCTGGCAGCTTCAAATATCGGATCTTCAATAGTGGGATGGTAATTTGGAGATTCGACTGCCATTGGTCCCCCAGTGGAATGGTATTCTGCCATACAGAGTGTGAAAGAAGGAAAAAAACAGGACAAACAATTTTTAATCTAACTTTATAACAATAAATAAATTAACGAAAAATAAAAATAAATAAATTAGCGAAATTTAACAAACAATTTTGACTTTTACAAAATAAATATATTTAATTGGTTTCAAAGTGGCCGGCTTTTGCAGCAATACAGAAGCACAAAAGCCCATTGAAATTTTCAGCAATGGACAAGACCTTTAATCTATCTCATTCTTGTCGAAGTGATTGCTTTAACGAACGATTTCACACTGTTATTTTGACAGCGTGAAACAATTTTAAAACAGCAGATCTTTTGCTTGACATATCGTTGTAACATGTTTTATGACAAAATCGAGATCTACAGTTTAGGAACTTCGTATGCTCTATATTCTTGTGACTTTATATTCTGATTTTAACTGTGAAACAAACATTTCTTATACTAGGTTGTGATATAAACAAAATTTACCAATTGCAAAAGGACATGTCGGTAATAAATTGCTTTTTGCAGAAATTGAATACGTTGTAGCATACTAAAATGTAAGTAAAAGAGAAACTTAATCACTACTGTCTAGACAAACAAGAAATTGTTCCAAAGATATTTTTTATGCAAAATCGAATAGTACCAAAATCAAGTCAACAGGGCTCATAAATTGTAAGATAAGAAAACTTTATTTAGGAAAATATCTATATATATATATATATTGACACGTACCCATTTATGCGTGGATATTTCGTAACTATATTAACTCGTAAAGCAATGTTTGGTTTTATAAATAATCAAATTTTTAAACATACAGTTCCTATAACTTATAAACTATTAATACGGTTAAATTCGTATTGATTTCATTCGATTTAAAGTAATACATTTTCACAACAACTCATTGTGACCGAGGGAACATTGAGGGTTAAAATTCCATGACTCAGTATACGGCAAGCCGCCCCCGAGATTAATCTCTGTTATCCACTATGAAAGCTCAGCAACCTATACGACTGGGCTATCGCGGCTCTTTCATTCGATTTATAAATGAAATTCATATGATTTAAATAGTTTTGCAGGAATTTTTTGCACCTTTTAATTCTGTTAAAAATACATTTATTTTTTTTACAATTTTTCAATATTCATTTTTTTTAAATAATTATTTTTACATGCGTTAAATTATTATTATAACAGATTATAAATAATAAGTTTTTTTACATCTTTTACATAATACTTATTTTTTTACAATTTTAATAAATAATATTGCAGTGATAACAAGCGAAGTTGTTCCAAATTAGGAAAACAATTCTCATAATGTCATGTTCACCCATAATATCTCGTCAAAGTGAAAGCAGTCAGGCTATTCTAAAGATGAAAAACTATTTCTATATAAGTCAAAATCGTTTAAGAATCTTAAAGAATGAAGTTCACACATTCATAGCAAAATCAAAATTATTAATATTATTTTTCTGCTTTTATCTATTTAATTTTGTTTTCAGTTTATTTAATTTTTTCATTTATTTTTTTACAAAGCAGTCAAATAAATTGAGTGATACCAGAATCCAAATATTGAGGATCCCGCTCATCTTCAAGCTTCAGAAAATACGGAAGTACTTCCTCGTAACTCCATCCTTTTGCTCCGTCCTCGGCCCAATCATCGAAGTTCTTCTTATTTCCTCTAATATTTATCATGGCATTTAAAAGACTTGAGCCACCTANTTTGTATGTAAGACAATGAATTATTACGAGGTTACGTTCGTAAAATTCAGTGAATGGTTTCTTAAAATAAAGACGAAAATAAACAAAATTCATTTACAGCAGAAAATATTCCCAATATACTTTTGATATTGTTTGTAGAGCTGCTGGAATCTGTCAGCATTTTCACCGAGGGTTATAGTTCTTCCTCCAAACGCTTTGAAGCGCGCAGGTATCAGGTTCAAATCCTTCCCTCCGTAAGCCTGGATGTATTTTTGTGCTGTTCTTCTCAAATTTATGATGCTTGTTCTTTTTTGATTTAAACCTCAGAAGTCAGCATATATATATATATATATATATAAAGTAACCACGTTATTTTTAAAGATTTACCTGTAAAAGCTCTTCAACCACTCAGAAACATACCTTTTACAGTCGCTTCTACACCACTCCCTTCCAACGTCCTCTCAAACACTAAAAAACTGGAAGTAAAATTTCTAAGCGAATATTTAAAAAACGCACTGCTACCCTTTTCCAATTATTTAAAAAAAATATTTCTGTTAGAGAATCTCTGCAAGGGATTTCGGTTATCGGAATATTAAATTGGAAAGGCAGAACAGCAAGTTTCCACCTAACAGTTTCGAAATTTTACTCCAACTTTTTTTTAGCTTTTGGATCTGTTCCGTTCTGTAATTCATTTACGTCGCACTAGAGTTGCACAATTGGCTAGTGGACGGTCTGGGAAACATCCCTGAGGATGATCCGAAGACATGCCATCACAATTTTGGATCCACTTCAGAGGGGATGGCACCCCCGCTTCGGTAGCCCGACGGCCTGCACGTGAAGTCAAACACTTTACGGTAGAACAGTTTAATAAGGACCAATACCGCACACCCTCGGTCCCTACGCAAATTGATTCACGTGGTTACCCACCCGCATCCTCACAACAGGCAGTGTTGCTTGACTTCGATGATCTGCTGGGAACAGTGTCTTAACAATCACTGCGGGACTTATTCAGTTTACGTATTTTAACCGAATAATTTAAAACCTGCTTCAGAGTGCTCCGTAAGAGTAACGTTGGTATATATATTTCTAATACATTTGTAAAAGTAAACTGGAAAATGGATATGCACAACTGATAAATAATCTAGTTAAAAAAATAGTGCAACTGTGAAAAATCATTGTTGCAGCTTATCTGAAAGGAAGGCAGCTCATATAATCGAAATGCTGTTTATTTGTACTATTATGGTATTGAACTACACTCATCTTGTGTTAAGCACTGCCTCTGAGATTCCTCCTCAAAAAATCTGTTTTCTTTTTAAATTTCAATCATTTTTTTAATCTTAGCTTCAGTATTTATAACAATTATAGTTAGTAATATAATAATTATTAGCTTTTGCTGCAATAATTATTTGTAAAAGTTTCAATTTCTACTCCCTGAAATATTCAATACAGATTTCTTACGTAAATATTTTTTTTTACTTTATCTTTGACACATATTCTATAATTATCCTCTCCATTTCTTTTCACTTAACAATCAATATTGATCCCTAATAAAAATAATTGTCTTTCTTTTACTTTATTTTTGACACGTATTCTACATATATATCATAAAGGTTGTTTTAATAGAAACACTCTGCATCAGCATAAATCAATAAAATTTAGTGAAAGGGCATTGTAAGTTTCATTTTGTTAAATAAATAGGAGGTATCTGTTTACAAAACTTAATTTATATGGGAAGAAAAAGTCATATTTAAATAACTATAAGAATACAATAATGTTCTACACTCAACATCAACCTATACACGTTCTGCAGCATGAAACACCGTAATTGTGCCATTTTACCCAGGATATCCAAAACTCTTGTAAGTCACTTTTAGGGGAAATAGGGTTCATTCAAACTCATTGTGCTCTACCAGACAGTGCACTTCAACCGTCCACTATAATGTTACTACTCTCGTGTTTAGAATTTATTTCTTGGCAAGACTGTCTGTGCAGCTACTAGATAAAACAAAAATGGCAGTGTCCGGAAATCAATCTTCCTTCGGTAGGTAGGTATTTTATATACGTCGCACTACAGCTACACAATGGGCTTTTGGCAACGTCTGGGAAACATCCCGAGGATGATCCGAAGACATGATATCGCAATTTCGATCCTCATCAGAGAGGATGGCTCCCCTGCTTTAATTGCCCGACGACCTGCACGCGAAGTCGAGTACTTTACGGTAGAAAAGTTTAACTAGGACCGATGCCTCGCAGCTTCGGTCCCTAAGCAGGCTGAACAAAGTGGTTACCCACCAGCTTGCTGTCCGCAACCAGTGATGCTTGACTTCGGTGTTCTACTGGAAACAGTGTCCTTACGACCAGTCTACTGCGGGACGCTCCTTTGGTATTCAGCATGTATAGCATATAATTGAGCATGCATCTGCTGTAAAATTATTAACTGCATTCATCTATTACTTCATTTGTACTCATGATGTTCAAATAAGGATTACAATTGAGCATTCTCCACCTCCTATTGGATCTATACCTCTGTTATTGCTTTCATTGTTGTTCCTTTTTTACTTCTTATGGCTTTTTATGCAGTTTTCAATCTTCATGACCTACCATATCCACACTAAAAACTTGTATCAATAGTTTTGAGACACCTTGTATGTTCTTCCACTAAACTTTCTTATTACAGAAACAAAACCTTTACTTACTCTATCTATTTGCAACCGAGCTGTGTTTTCTTGTGGTGTAGTTTTGTACATCCAATAAATGTCATCGAAATAGAAATTTCTTCCATATCCAGGTATATCATTTAACAAAGGCGCTACTTTTCCAGCCTCTAGTAAAAGCACATTGCAGCACGGTAGTTCGGATAAACGAGCTGCCACTGTAGATCCCGCTGATCCTCCACCTACTAAAAGAGGAAACAGCAATCAACAGTTTTAACTTAAACTTTTATTTTGTACACCATTTAATTAACCACCTTACGGAAACCTTTTTAAAATCAATACACATGTTGATAAGAAATCGAAAATGATATCACATTGTTAAATTATCTTTGACGATGTAGTCATGACTGGCCTTTCATAACCAAACTAATAGTAGGGAGAGTTTTTGCGTAATTACCTCTCTGGATCAATATTTCTATAATGGACAGCATATGATCCTTTTCCTTTGTAATGTATCTTAGTTAACTCTTTACCGAGATTATGGACTAAATATTAATACTTGTCTCAATTTCGTTTAAAATCTGAAAAAAATACCGCTTTTGATCTTAGGTGTATCTTAGGTTACCGCTCGGTGTATCTTAGTTAACTCTTTACCGAGATTATAGACTAAATATTAATACTTGTCTCAATTTCATTTAAAATCTGAAAAAAATACCGCTTTTGAAGTTTGCTGATCACTGAGATTTGCTGAGATTTTTTTTTCAGCATTATTTGCCTGCTAATATTTTATTTACCAGCATTAACAAGGTTGTATCGAATCCCCAAATTCAAGCAGTAGAGAAAATTTCTTAAAATTATAAATTATCTTGCACACTAATACAAATGATTTGAATCATCCTTAGCAAAAACTATAGTTTCCAGGTGTTTCGCATTCACCACCTTTAATACATCTAACGAATCGTCCCGCAGTGGACTGATTGTTAAGACACGGTTCCCAGCAGATCACCAAAGTCAAGCATCACTGGCTACGGTCAGTGAGCGGGTGGGTGATATATATATATATATATATGCATGGAGACAACAAACATATGTCACATACGTCCCATTTTACAGACATGACACATTCACACACTATCCAGCCATCATCCGCAAATCGCAATTTTGACCTGAACCAGAACACAATCAATCTCCGATCCAGTACTCGCTGAGGTATTAATTTGCTATGGGACCTTGGAAGACTTTGTGACCCGACATATTCAACGTGAACCAGAACCATTTACTACACAGGGAGTCTTCGGCAGACTGGGATCAAACTCACGACCTCTTGGACATTAGCCCAATGCCTTACCAAGCATGCACCAGTGAAAATTTTGCACACGGTAAAACTTTGACCAGTGAGGACCAAACTCTTGACATTTTAATACTTCCCTCTGTGTAAAACACGGTTCTCTGTAGTTCAATGAAGTTAAGCATCACTGACTGCGATCAGTGAGCCTTGATCAACCTTCGATGAAACCGAGTGTGAGTTGTGTCGGTCCTCGTTCAGTTTTTCTACCGTATAGAGTCTTTGATTCCACGTGCTGATTATCGGATTATAGAAGTGGGGGAGCTCTTACCATGGTGAAGATAAATATATTTTAATGGCAAGTATTCGAATCATACTCAGGGATAGTTCCCAAACTCGCGTAAACAACCCATTATGCAGATGTAGTACGATGAAAATTAATACTAATAATACAAATTATGGAGTAAAAATAACGTTAGAAGTTGTTAATAAAGTAATAAATTAGTAAAAAAATACTATTTTACTTCTTTGTGAACCGAATTTAGATAAGTATAGACATTTTTATAACTTTTAATGCTTTAATGCGCCAAATCAGATTTAGAAGCATAAAAAATTCGATGCTATGCTTTTACAACTATGTTTACAAGGTTAAAAGTTTGATTTGGTTGTTAAAGTCACACTAGATGTTACACTAGTCACACTTACACTAATCTTCTATTGGCAGCGAATTTAGATCCATCCCTGGATGATGCTTGGAAGACATTACATGCGCATGCGTACACTACAATATAACATTCTTTTCTTGCTTAAAAATCACTGGGATATAGTTAAATCCGTATCATTAAAACTGGATCGAAGAAAGTGCAGTCCGATCAGATATTCAGCATTCATCCGGTAAAAACGAACTCCGGCCCAAGCCGCCGTGGTGAAGATGGAGTATTTAACTCAACCCTATGACTGTATGGCTAGCAATATAAGATGTACTATTTGAAGGTAGGTACTTTATTTACGTCTTGCTAGAGCTGCATAATGGGCTATTGGCGACGGTCTGGGAAAAATCCCTGTGGATAATCTGAAAACATGCCACCGCAATTTTGATCTTCAGCAAAGGGGGTGACTCCCCTGCTTTGGTAGCCTAAGAACCCTCTCGTTATGTCGAACACCTTACGGTAGGACAGTTTAACGAGGATCGATACCGCACACCCTCGGTCCCTATGCAGGCAGATCAAAGTGGTCACCCACCCGCTAACTGATAGCCAGTGATGCTTGACTTCGGTGTTCTACAAAGAAGCGCGTCCTTACGATCAGACCACTGCTGGACGTGCTACTTAAAGACTTTCTAACTTAACCGCTACCCCAGAATTTAGAGCTGCGTCAGAATTTAGACCCTCCAGATTAATTTTAAAGCATAGGTAAGAGAATTCACAGTCTATTCTCACCGTGGGTGAAAAATTTAGGAATTAGCTTTTGGTTGATGAAGTATACATGAAAACTCTCCAGTCAGATTCGTACTAGCATCCGTGTACTTAACGCATCGAGTGAGAGTGACTCTTAAGGCTAGTAAAAGTTATGAAATCACTTCTTAGTAAACAATTGTGATTGTTCACTGCAAAAATAGTTTTAAGATATTCTTACCAATGATGAAATCGTATTCAGAAAGCAGAGATGATGGTGTTTGAAGGACTGTTGGTGCATTCTTTTGAGTTGCCAAAGACATGAGCATGAGAGGTAAAAGAGTTGTATTTGCAAGTGGAGTTGGGTATGAGTTTTCTCTTGTAATGTTGTATTCGTACATCTTGTACTAAAGACTAATCTACATAAAAAAAAAAGAATAACAAACTGAACAACTTCTAACAAAAATTGACATGAGAAGGAGAAAAAAAAATAAGATAAACGAGATATGAATAAGTTGATTAGCGCCCTCACAAAACAAACAAAAAACACTTGGTTGCAAATTTTGTTTTAAAAAAACATTCAAAAACTCACCTTTTCCTCTTATTTTTAAAATGTATTTCTTTTTAAAATTGCAGCTAATGATCTTATTGTTGTTGTTGTTGATTTACGTCGCACTAGAGCTGCACAATGGGCTATTAGCGACGGTCTGGGAAACATCCCTGAGGATGATCCGAAGACATGCCATCACAATTTTAATCCTCTGCAGAAGGGATGGCACCCCCGCTTCGGTAGCCCAACGACCTGCACGCGAAGTCGAGCACTTTACGGTAGCACAGTTTAACGAGGACCAATACCGCACACCCTCGGTCCTTACGCAGACTGATCCAAGTGGGTCACCCACCCACACACTGACCGCAGCCAGTGATGCTTGACTTCGGTGATCTGATGAAAACCGTGTCTTAACGATCACTCCACTGCGGGACAGCTAATTATCTATCTTCTAAAAATAGTAATTTAAAAAGATAAAGCATTTAGCTTCCAAAATATTTAAATAGAAAGTTTACAGCCAGATATTTTAGTTTCTTGAAGACATTGGTCTGCTCAATATGCTATGAATAGTAATTCCGAAACCGAAAATACCGCAGGTTTGTGCCCGAAATCTCAACACTTCTGAGGAATAGCAGAAAAACCTCTGACCAAAGCGTGGAGGTAGCGGGTTCGAATCCCGCCGTAACCTTGGATGTATTCTTCGTGATGTCCTTCTCTGAATTGTTCTATCTGTCTTTCTACTTGACAAAGGCTAATAAGTCTAAATTGAGCATACAATCCTGCAAATGTATGTAATTTCAATAAAGCAGAAAAACGCTAAATGAGATAAATGCAACTTTTTTTTGCTAGCTATCAAATTAATTATTTTGACGAAAGCTTACAAGCGTATAACATATAGGCATTTCATTAATATAGAACTAACTTTAAAAAAACATATAAGGGGGCCAACTTCAGAGAGGATCTCATTTGTTTGGCCACTTACTCGATTTAGACATGAATCTGAAGAGAATGGAAATTTTTTCAGATCCTTGAATTCGTGGTACCGTTAAGCGACGCGGCACATAATCTTTGATTCCATTGTTGTTGTTGTTGTTGTTGTTAATTTACGTCGCACTAGAGCTGCACAATGGGCTATTGGCGACGGTCTGGGAAACATCCCTGAGGATGATCCGAAGACATGCCATCACAATTTTGATCCTCTGCGGAGGGGATGGCACCCCCGATTCGGTAGCCCGATGACCTGCGCGAGAAGTCGAGCACTTTACGGTAGCACAGTTTAACGAGGACCAATACCGCACACCCTCGGTCCCTACGCAGACTGATCCAAGTGGTCACCCACCCGCACACTGACCGTAGCCAGTGATGCTTGACTTCGGTGATCTGCTGAGAACCGTGTCTTAACGATCAGTCCACTGCGGGACTTTGATTCCATTGATTTTACAAGCACGTATATCGCATGTACTCGCTGCTGGGACTTAGTGGAGATAATGATTGAACCCCGACACTTCCGGACCGAATTCTAATTTTCCAACCATTGGGCAACCGCGGCCCCAACACATGCCGAATTTGAAAAGACCCAACACGTACGTGTTATTTTTCTACTCCCCAAAACAATTGGGAATGCCCAAAAGGCCACAGCGTTGCTGGAATAGCCTGGTTGGTACAGGGCTAAAGAGAATAGAAGGGCTGG